CTGCAGACCAGTATGATGCAATCTGTCAAATCACAGTGTTATATGTGGTTGAGAACTGATGGATCTGCCTTGAACAAGTCGTTCTTAGGTAGTTTCTTCTGCACCCTAGAACAGTGTTCCCTGAGACGGTATATAGTAGGGTATTGTGTGTTTGTGTAGGCTTAACTGTAGGGAGGTTATGAAGCCAAAATGTCTGTCTTGAACTCCTAGGTGAGAGCTGAAGGACATGACTAGAGTGAATTCTTTAATATGTTCGTGATATTTGGATTTGCCCTGGGCTTTTCGTTAATGGTGCTTAACATCCAGTTTGGGTTGCAGCCAACAAAGTTGTCCTGTTAGTACAAAGACTTCTTCCTGTGCAACAGGACTTCCTCTCCCTCATGCCTCCCAAATCCATTATGGGGGTTCCCTCAACCTTCTGGAGCATACCACTCATTGTTAAAACCGTGTTTATACAAGACAATCTTTCTCAGCTACGTGTGATCGCCAAAGAAGATGATGATGGAAAAGGAAGAACCTTTGCACAAAAATAAGACATTGCGTTGATTGGACAACTTTGTTGGATACAACCATCTGTCTGTTTACAACATACTCTTTGACTTGTAGCATGCATGTACAAGAATCTTGTTTTTGGTCCTTGCATGACCCACTGGTGGTCCTGATCCACAGTCTCAAGATCTGTGACATAAGCCACAGATACCCAGGATATGCCTTAAGAGTAGATTTGGTACCTTCATGGTGATTTTGCAGAAGTGGCCACTTAAATAGCACACATGCCACGATTTTTAGTTTTCTTACTGAATACCATATTGGTGTACAGTGGTACCTCGGGTTACAGACGCTTCAGGTTACAGACTCTGCTAACCCAGAAATAGTACCTCGGGTTAAGAACTTTGCTTCAGGATGAGAACAGAAATCACACGGCTGCAGCAGCAGGAGGCCCCATTAGCTAAAGTGGTGCTTCAGGTTAAGAACAGTTTCAGGTTAAGAACGGACCTCCGGAACGAATTATGTACTTAACCCGAGGTACCACACTACTGTTAAATAGAAAGTAAGTAAGGTATGCCCATTTTGTGTTTAGCTTCTCTGAAACAGACCTTGGTCAGAGCTAGATCATTCCTATTTTGACTGCAAGAGTAGGACTCCCAAGGAAATGGAGTCTATTGAAATACAGTGGTACCTCAGTTTACGAACTTCAATCTGTTCCACAAGTCCGTTCTTAAACCGAAACTGTTCTTAAACTGAGGGGCACTTTCCCTAATGAGGCCTGCCAGTGCCCTTCCACCGTTCGGATTCTGTTCTTAGACTGAGGTAAAGTTCTAAAACCAAGACACTATTTCTGGTTTTGTGGAGTTTGTAAACCAAATCGTTCTTGAACTGGACTGTTCTTAAACCGAAGTACCACTGCACTATGTTTGTTGCATAATCTCTCCAGGTATATAATAAATTGTAAAGTCTGTAAAGATGTTCTAAATAAAGCACTGCTGAGGGTTCAGAGCTCAGTATAGGCACATCTAGTGTATTGATTTAAGTTTTTATATATTTCTGTTGCTGCTTAAAATTGCAATTGTCTGGTTAGCATAAAATAATGTCAGAAGTGGGTGTTATACATAGGCTTCCATTTTACCTTCGTATTCTGTTTCATTTAAGATAAGAGTTGAGCTAATCTTACTGCTTTCTTGCTAGTCGCATTGTGTAGGTGTGCCTCATGAACGCTCCCCGAGCTCCTCCCTAGGTTGGAAAGGGGTTAGTTTAACCCCCGGTTTGCTAGTAAAACTGATTTACCGTGTCACAAAATGATACATGTCTAAAAAGTGTGTCACCGAAATGAAAAGTTTGGAAAGCTCTGGTATAATATCTTTACTTTGGGTCATCTTACGTGCAACACAGTGGTCCACCATTGGGAATTGTGCAGCTGTTCATAAGCTAAAACTGTCAATACTCTTGTAAATATGGTGAGATCACACTAAGAACCTGTTGTTCCTTTTATGCTACTCAGTTAAGCCCAAACCTTCCCCCAAACTCACAGTGAATTATGGCTTGAGTACATTGCATATTTTATCTTGCCCAAACTAACATGGCAGTATTGCAAATGTAACATTGTTTTATAGAAACCACCGTAGCTAGTTCATATTTATTGGATGAGCATTGTTTATATGTGAAGTCTGAGTCAGTACTTAATTGTTGGCAAATGTGGTTATAGTTCAGTCTGATTTATGAAAAACATGATTAAATTTGCAAAGTGAATTTAAGACTATTAGGGATATGGGGAATAAGTTGCTGGTAAATATTAAATTGGTGGGGTATGTCATCTAGAAATCTGAATTTCTAATCTTGGAAGGCTGCTGAATTTCTGATTTTAGAAGGCACAAGCTAGGCAAAATGAAGCACTACTAAGTCTGGTTCACTTCAGTGGGAGTGGTAAGCACATACCTGCATATCTTTCATTTGAATCATTGGGACTTGATGTGCTGAACTTCATCTGGATTGTTCCCAGAGTTTTTGGTGTAATTTCTAAAGATTAGTTTTGAGATACTCTCTGTCAGCAGAACAGTGTCTTATTGTTGAAGGAAGTATACTTTTTTATAATAAAAAAAAGATAAAAGTAGGTATAAACTTTGATAGTCTTTTGGAGTTGTTAAAATCAGGAACTGGGGAGTATTGGAAGCAAGAGTCCACGAACAGTGTCAGTAGAGACATTTGCCAGGAGGCAAAGCTGTGTTAAATACTTTTAAGTAGCCATAACCAGGCTGCCTAAAATTTGGCAAAATTGCAACAAAATCCCCTACTGAATAGGGAGTTTAAAATGGAAAGCTGTGCAAGTTGTGTGGAGCTCAGGAACTGGAAGGTGTCTTGATCTCTCATTGTGCAGTTAGAAAGCTCCAGAATCTGAAACCCCAGGACTTGACAATAATTCACATTATGCACAATGAAGTTATTGGGAGGTCTGTGCAAGCTAGAATGGAACAAGCTGGCTCACTGTAGAACAGAACATGTTTCTGTAGATTCTTGGTGAAGCAAGAGGTGTTGCTAAGTATACAGCCATCCTTTAGGTATTTCATTCATTCATGCCCACGATTGTATGCCTAAGTAGGCAGTAAATAAGCTTGCCTACTCATCCTTAATAATGTGATCCTCATCTTTGTTTAATTCTTAGGACTTACTGTACAGATTAAGAAAAATAGATCAGTCTACGTTCATTTTATTTGCAAAACAACACCCACCCACACCCCATGTCTTATAGTTGAGGGTAGCCAGAAAAATGCGGGGGCAGGGTGGATCTGGTGGACTCTTTCCTTACCTTACCCCCAGCAGTAGAAGCATACAGTTTACCCTGATCCATGGGCACCTTCAGGCAGAAGTTTAAAGTCTGTTTAATGAAGTGGAAGGGATTGGGGAGGAGGAATGATTTGGTGTATGTTCCATTTCTTACACATAACTGATGTCTGTGTAGAAAAACACCTTTATATGTGGCATAAAGTTACTCTTTAGGAGGCAGGAGGAATGGCAACGGTGTGAATCCAAGCTTTTTGAATTGAGCAGCCTGGTCCCACACTTACTTATGTTTGTAATATATAGTGGGGTAAGGCTGTAGAAGCAGGTAACGTGCCACCCATTTGAGCCCTTGCTTTCACCTAGTCGCAGCCATGCTGAAAGATGCAGGGCATCATGGGTAGCACTTACTTATGCTGAAATGCTTGCTGCTGAATGTGTACAAAAAAGTCTTCAGCCTTTTTTGTGTAAGATTGGCCACTCTAGGCAATAAGGCCTTCTCACTTTGAAATTGATAGATTACCTCCTCAGACTGTTTAATAGGAGATGCTAGCCAAAGACTGCATTGACTTAATCACATGTATCTTCAGTGATACAGTTAACAGAATTGGCTGTGATTAAGATGTCTGTACTCTGCACCTGAGCTAGCTAGCTGGGAGGATTTGAAAGTTCTAAAGGTGACCTGTTCATACAAGGTCTTGATTTCCCTGACTAGTTGGAGCTAGCCAATACTTAAAAGATTATAAGATTAACCCAGTCTAAAAATTATGGGGACATGCACAGATGAAGTGTGGTCTGCACAATTTGGCTGGCTGTGCACTCCTTTTGGTCACCTCGGCCATCTGGCACACCAGAAAATTTTGCAGAGGAGAAGGCAACGGGCCTTTCAATTTTCACAAAGCCTTGTTCAGATGCAGCTGAGTCTTTCTCATACCTTCTGACTTGGCCTGGGAGACTGACTCCTCCTCTGTACATGTCAGGTGATGGGTGGGTATGCTTGGTCTCTTCTCCCCAAATGGCGAGGCCCTTCCAAGTTCTCTGTGCAGAGAGCTCCAGGAGAAGGAGGGCTAACGTGTCATGCTGGAATTAGGAAGACGGTTGCCAGGGAGAGATTCGTGGTTGCCATTCAGGAAACCCTGGCCCCAAGCTCCCCTAAAACCAGAACAGCTAGGCAATTCCAGTTCTCTACCTTCCGATAGCCAGGCATGCACTGTACCTTCTACAAGATTAGCCTCCCTAGACCATTTGTTTCTAGAACATTTCTGGAGAAACATGGGGTTCCTCAAGGGAAAGAGGGGTAATAGGAGGCACGACAGCCTGCCCATTTCCAGTGCACTCTCAGCTTACATGGCTATAATAAAGCCCAACAGGCTTATGAATTATCCTCTGCCAACTGAGTATTTGCCTCCAGAATCTTTTAGGAATTCCATGGCAGGTGGGTCACTGTGGACAAAGTCTTGAAACCACTCCACTGCCATAGAGGAGATTCTAAATGTGAGAACAGCAATGAAAGGGAAAGAAACCATTTTGCTGCTGGCACACAATTCTTGTGACCCTTGGTAGATTGCTTTTTAGTCAGTGCTGAAATTTTCTAATTCGCATGATTGTGTATTCTGAAATGATAAGCTTGTTTTCAAGTGGTGTGAAATGTTAGCTACTTATGATACTGAGAAATGTCAATTAAGCAAAGATTTGCAGTTAACTCTGCGTTTTTCTCTCTCATTAAGGTTTGGACCGCACGGAATCCCTGTGACCATATTTCCCAAAAGGGAGTACAAGGATAATCCTGAAGCGATGGAGCTCCAAAGTAAATCATTCCAAGATGAGACCCAAGTGAAGTGTGAAGCCAATGGTGTAGTCACAGACTCTTCTCCCATCCAGCCATCAGAGCCTAGCCTGGCTAAAAGCCTATGGACTTCCAAGCCACCTCCCCTTTTTCACGAGGGAGCACCATATCCTCCTCCTTTGTTTATCAGGGACACATATAACCAGTCAATACCTCAGCCTCCGCCTCGGAAAATCAAACGGCCCAAGCGGAAAATGTACAGGGAGGAACCCACTTCTATTATGAATGCTATCAAACTACGACCCAGACAGGTCTTGTGTGACAAGTGTAAGAACAGTATTGTTGCAGAAAAGAAAGAAATTAAGAAGGGCAGCAGTACAAGTGATTCCTCAAGGTATGAGGATAATAGAAAACGAAGACATGAGAGCGTAACTACTGTGAATAAAAAAATTAAAACTGATCATAAAGTTGATGGGAAAAGCCAAAATGAAAGCCAGAAAAGGAATTCCGTGGTCAAAGTTGCAAATATTGCTCACAGCAGAAGTAGAGTAGTCAAAGTTACCACTCAAGCAAATACTTCAAAAACGCAGTTAAATACTAAAAAGGTTCTCCAGAGCAAAAACATGGATCATGCAAAAGCTCGGGAAGTTTTGAAAATAGCCAAAGAGAAGGCACAAAAGAAACAGAGTGCAACCTCTACTTCCAAAAATGCACATTCAAAGGTCCACTTCACACGGCGTCTTCAAAACACCAGCTCAGGTTCCCTGCCCCCACGATTGCGTCTAAAGCCACAAAGGTACCGAAATGAAGAAAACGACTCCTCTCTCAAGACAGGGCTTGAGAAATTGCAGAGTGGCAAGATGGCAGCTAAGCCTCAGTCTCGCTGCTCCTCTACCCGCTCAGCAGGTGAGGCCCCTTCAGAAAATCAGAGCCCCTCAGAAGGCCCTGAAGAGGCCAGCAGTGAGGTTCAGGACACAAATGAAGTGCATGTACCTGTTGATCAGGATGAACAGCAGACACTGGGCAAGAGAGGCAGCAAAAGCAATATAACGGTTTACATGACCCTTAATAAAAAGAAATCTGACTCTTCCAGTGCATCAGTGTGTAGTAGTGATAGCACAGATGACTTGAAGTCCACCAACTCTGAGTGTAGCACTACTGAAAGCTTTGATTTTCCTCCAGGCAGCATGCATGCACCTTCCTCCTCCTCCTCCTCGTCCTCTTCAAAGGAAGAGAAAAAGCTCAGTAATTCCTTGAAAATGAAAGTCTTTTCAAAAAATGTCACTAAATGTGTCACACCAGATGGCAGGACCATATGTGTAGGAGACATTGTTTGGGCCAAGATATATGGCTTCCCATGGTGGCCAGCCCGTATTCTTTCTATAACTGTGAGCCGAAAAGATAACGGCCTCTTAGTCCGACAGGAAGCTCGTATTTCATGGTTTGGGTCCCCAACAACATCTTTCCTTGCTCTTTCACAGCTCTCCCCTTTTTTAGAAAACTTTCAGTCGCGATTTAATAAGAAGAGAAAAGGTCTTTACCGCAAGGCCATTACAGAAGCAGCCAAGGCTGCTAAGCAGCTAACTCCTGAAGTTCGGGCCCTGCTGACACAGTTTGAAACATGAACATGAGAAGTAAGGTAGGCAAGAAATGTGGAGGCTCCTTGAAATGTCTAGCCTAGTTAAATGCTATGAAGGACTTAGCCAATTAAACACAAAAATTGCACTCAGTTGGCTGCTTTTTTATATACTGAAATTTCCATTTGTAGCAATGTCTTGACTGAAAGTTATACTTAACAAATTGTACATGCAATCAAATTAACCTAAAGCGAGATCTCAGTATTTTTCAAGAGGACTCTTACATTTTTTTGGTAAAAGTAAAAAATTCCTCTGACCACCCCATGCACAGGAGCCATAACCTCAGCTGAAGAGCAGTTTATTTGCAGGGAATTTTTACTAGTTTCTACCCACTATATATACCATTTCAGTGTATGTGGGGGGAGGGGGGAGGGAACAAATGAAATGGAAGTTTTAAACATGACTTGTATGGTCCACCTTAAATGCAGAACCCTAGGCCCTCTCTGAGCCTCAAACTTTATTTCAGTGTTTCCCCTTCCCCGCCCCCTGCCCAGAAAACCTAATTTACAATAGTGTGATGGGCCCAAAGAGTTCAGCCTTTGCCTAAAAACACTTTCTCACTGGCCACTTTAAATCCTTTTAGAAACCAATTTTAATCTGAATTCAGTTAGAAAGGTTTTATCATTTGTTAGATAGGTCTTGTTGGTCACCTTTTCCCAAATGCTTAGTTATGCTATGAACCCAGGGACAGCAGCATGAACTTCAGGTTTTGGCAAGTTAAGAGGAAGCCAGTTGCTCACAGGCGGGTCTGGATAGTACCCCAGCATTTGGGATCAGAGGCTGTTAATGCTGCATAGGTGTGAATCATAACTTCCAAGGAGGGTGGGGTGGGATGCTCCTAGGACAGTTGTCTTGAGGGTTTAGCTTGAGAGAGTTTGTGTTGTATAAATAATTGGTCAGATTTCTCCCCCCTGACTACTTGTTCTTAAATTCTTAGGCTACGTCCTAGTAAATTACACTTTGTGAACTGTCAGATGTGTAATTATTGCATTTGGATGTACTGAGCGGCATATTTTTTTTAAACTATTTCCATTAAAGGTATCTGTTTGCAGGTCAGAAAATATGGAAAATGTAATTGTGTAATGCTCTGAAATGTACAAAAAAACTGTAAATAAAATTGACTAAATCTAATTATTTGTGTGTGTTTCTCAAAAAGCTTTGAAATAAAATCAGGAAACAGGACTGTTTTCTGTTTACACAATATTTAGGGAATAATTTTCTTGCTCTCGACACACTCTAAATTAGTATCACTAACTGCGTATCAAAATAACATTGGTGTTGAAAATATAAATAAGGTTCTAATTTTGGTAAATTATTCAGCTATTTATTTCCCCATAGCAAATCCTTGTCAGTGCTTTAAAAAAACCACACGCCTTTCCAGTGTAATTATTCCCCCCACCACCACCATTTTATGTTACTTTATCCCTGATGTCCATTTGCTCCTAGATCTTCTGCAAGTCTGATGCTCTGCATTGGACTTTTTATGCAGTTGATTCGCTTAGACATTACACTTTCTAATGGACTCATATAATTTGTACTTGGTTTAAGTTTGCAATGTCGTAAAAGGTGCCTAATTTCATTCTCCCCCAAAACACATTACAATTTTAGGAGTAGGCATTTAGGAAAAAGGGAAAAAAGCTAAATTAATTGTGTGTATCAAATCTCAAAGAATTAATGACCAAGGGCTCTGTTGTGACAGTTTGATTCTAAGGTATGCTTTTTCATAAAACTCAAACTTCATTTTATTTCCAAACATTTTACTTTAAATCTGGTATCTCTGATGCTGTGTACATGGGCTTGAAATCGGCTCCAAATAGTTTTCACCCTTCCTTGATGTAACACTAGATAAGCATAAATTTCTAAACGTGTAGAGAAATAAACTTGCATTCAGTCTGTCAATGCTTTTTGAAATTACAAAACACACAACATTAATAGCATGCAATTCTGTTTCACTCCTGTGCTGTGTACAGTATTCTCTTTCCTGCAAACAGAAACAAATGCAGTGTTGAACTATTTTGTTTTGTTTTTTTTCAGGCAAGCTGTGCCTAAGGTTTTTAAAAACAAAAATTTGCAATGAAACAGACAATTTTTAGTGCTTTCTGCAAAGTTAAAAAAATGCAGCTCAGCTTGAGGCCAGTGTACACATTATGAGATTGATAGGTATACCAGAGTGTACCTGCTGATTTCCTAATTCATGACCCCACCTTCAAGGGAGCCTGTGATGAGTGCTTGATTGGGCACGTCTTCTAGGGTTTTGCCATTTTGAATAGACAGTCTTCTACATTTGAATTCTACCAAGAGTATAATTTGATTCTGGAGCCTTTGCTCCAGTTTGAAATAAATATAATTGAGTCTTGTCTTCAAAATCATGCTTTTTACAACACCGTGGAACAGTTCTGTTCCCTACTCAGGCCATAGTTTGCAATCGGGCATGCCATACATGACATTCATAGTGTTGAGTAGAAATTACTCTCACTTTAAATTTAATTACTGCTTTTCTCTGCTTGCCTTGATAAGAAATTTCTTTGCTTCCCTTTTGAAAATACTTGTTAGATTTTTTTTATCTCTTTAATTTTGGAGTTCCTTAGTGACATTTTGATGTCACAGGCAATGACTTAATGTCGTTCATTTCTGTGTAGAGCCTTGCTGCAGTTTGATTTTTCAGTTCAAAGCATGGAGATGTCATGATATAATCCATTTGCTGCAAGGCATTCAAGAGACTTTGGATGTTGTATCCAGGCCTGTAGGCAAAAGCGGCTGTTCAAGAGGCACTAAACTACAAAGCAAATATTGGCTTAGATTCCAGGGTCCTGCTGCCTGAGCAGGAAGCAGTTCTAGTGCTGTGGGGGTGCATTTGCTGACTCATCCACCTGCACTTTCCTGTGTCCTTCTCCAAAATAAATGACTTGGGATTACTGAACCCACCGGTATAGGTTTTTTGGGGGAAGGTGAGGGGTGGATGATGAGGGTTTGATGGAAATTGGTGACACACCCAGCCTACATGAGCAGGATGTTTGTATCCAAGCTGTTGAATTTTGGACAGGATACACAAATTGTTTGTCAAACTTTAGGCAAAGGTTTTCACCAAACACCTAGGTTTCGTATATTTTCTTTCAAGTAGTTTATTATTCCACTTCAGCCAGCTGTCTCTTCAGTGAAAGACACTGAGAATGCCCTGGTGCATGTAGCTAACCCTGAGGTGCCTTAAAACTAAACAGAATACTTTTAAAAAAATCATCATGAATTGCATCCAATTAAACAATTGCATGCACAGAACTTCTGCAAGCATAACAAAACTCTTCCCTCCAGATGGTCTCTGAAGGGTTGAGGGGAACTCCAGAGCAAATTTGGTAGATGCACAGGAGTCCTAGGGAGGTAAGGGAAATTAGGTAAGCACAATAATTTAGTTGAATACATCCCTGTTGGTTAATAATAATAATAATAATAATAATAATAATATACCCCCCCTATACCGGGGGTCTCAGGGCGTTACTTTCAATGCTTCATTCCTCAAAGGAAAAGGATGGTATAAATTTTATCCTGCCATGGAACAAAATTGGTGAAAGAACAGATGACTTCTTTCCACAAGCGAAACAATTGCAAATAACAAGCTAGTAAACCGTCATGCCTTACTAACATGTTCTACCTAATCTGTTTCCATTGTTATAGCCCTGCACAAGTTGTGTGCTCATATTTCCATGGTAATCAAATACACCAACCTGTGTTGAATTGCAGTTAGGATTTCAGAATGGCTGTCTTGATAATTTTTGTCATTCGTGTAAAAGCCACCTAAAGTGCATATGAGGTCAGTAGTTCTAAAAGGGGAAAAAACACTGCTTTAGAAAATGCATTCTTTGTAGCAAGAGTAGTCTTAGAATAGCCATGACCCTCTTTCTTGCATAAAAGGAAATGCCTCTTTAAGATAGGACTTGCCACTTGTAATTTTTAATAAGTGCAGTGTTAGTCTGTCGTTGCAAAAACAGCAGTCTTGAAGGTGCTACAAATGCATTATGACAAAAGCTTTCGTGGGCAAAAGTTCCAAGTTCACAAAGGCTTTTGCTATAATGAAATGTTAGTCTTAATTGCTGGCACCTTTTTCAGTCTTATCTATGTTGTGTTGTGTTGCTGCAGCACATCATAGCACTATTCAGATCTAGCACTATTAGTAGCATGTGCTAAGGTCTAAGTAAATGATTCTTTCTGCATGACCAGCACAGGAAATTCAGAATGAACAGTTAAAATGAGATGCATACATGGAACGTAGGTACGTGCCCCAATGGATTGCAGCCAGTGAATCTACCCACAGAAACATTTTAACAAGGACCGAGTAGCATGTTATTTTATCATCCTCCTAGTATGTGTTACTCTGTTCTGAGACAAGTCCCCCTGCAGTCTGGTAATGAGCCAAGTGCATGTGTTTGAGAGAGATGGGCAGTACTTTAAATGATATACCATAGTTTCAGGGAAGTGAGAAATCTCTGCTACTTCCAAGCTCAAGGCAGTGAAAAGTACGTTATGTATTGCAAAATAATCTACATAAGCCTTGGCTGTGCTGGCTGGGGCTAATGGGAGTTGTAGTCCAAAACATCTTGTGGGGGGAGGTAGCAGGTTGGGGAAGGCTAGGCTACAGGCAGGTGGGCAAGAAGCCACTAGGCAGAAAATATTTATGTAGCACAGGAAGGGTTGCTGCAGCTGTTTGAGCTGAATTCACACATGCTCCTCCACTGGTGACTTAGGGCAGAATCTAACCTCACAACAGGACTCTTCCTCTCTTGTACCAGAAGGGTCCTTGGCCCTCCGGCACACATTTCAGCTGGTCAGTATCCTTAAATTGTGGTGCCCAGAACTGGACACAGTACTCCAGGTATGGTATGGTCTGGCCAAGGCAGAATAGGGTGGCACTTCACTCCTGGTGACAGCCTACAATGGCATAAGCTTCTTTCTTTCTTTCTTTCTTTCTTTCTTTCTTTCTTTCTTTCTTTCTTTCTTTCTTTCTTTCTTTCTTTCTTTCTTTCTTTCTTTCTTTCTTTTGCATCTTGTGCACTACTAAGATCCCTAGATCCTTTTTCTACATGTACTACTGGCAATCCAGGTATTCCCCATCTTCTATTTGTTCAGGTGGTTCTTCTAGCCTAAGTGTAGAACCTTACATTTGTCCCTATTGAAATTCATTTTATTAGCTTTGGCTCAGCTCTGCAATCTGTTAAGCAGAGGCTTGACAACCATATGTCAGGAGTGCTCTGATGGTGTTTCCTGCTTGGCAGGGGGTTGGACTCGATGGCCCTTGTGGTCTCTTCCAACTCTATGATTCTATGTTTCTATGTTTCTATGTTTCTATGTTTCTAGGTCATCTTGAATCCCAATTCTGTCATCAGTGGCACTGGCTACTCCTGCCAGTTTGATGTCACCTACAAACTTCCCCCTAATCTCCATCCTTGAGACTGGGTGCTCTGTCCATCACATAGAGGGATCCTGCAGGAGGGTGAAATGTGTGTTTGTTGCACAGGGCACTGCATCCCTCAGGGGTCTTGAAGAATACATCATTCCCTCTGCCCATACATCCCACCCACCACTAGTCCATGGTAGGCAAATTCCAAAGATAGATGCTGATAGTATATTTCGCTTGTGTTCATGTCTTGCATATTGATTTCACGGGCTGGTTCATACCTCAGCTTTTATTCAGTGTAGTTAAATATTACCGTATCAGAATTGATATGGCTTATTTGCTCACAAAGACTCTTCAGGTGATACATTTACTGAATTGCAAAGCAGGTGCTGTATAATATGAAAACATCCATTTTGCTTGGTTTCGGTTTATAACTTTATACGTAGATATTACAGAGATGATGAAAAAAAACAATGTCCTTCAAATCCAATAATAATGAGGAGGACTAGACTTGCAACACTAGTTAGAAAAATTAAAATCTTTTCCCTATGTGGTTTTTGGTTTTCAAGTTTCATGGTGCTTTGACATCAGACTTGAAAAACGTTTCCTTTTATATTCAAGGGTATTGTGTACAGCAGTGATAAGAGTAACATGGAAAGCAATTGTAATAAATATATTTTAAGATTTAAATTTGTAGCTTTAAAAGAAATTAATAAACGTATTAAAAATACATTAAAATGTATTTTCAAAAAATAGATAAAAACCACTGTTCAAAAGAAGAAAGCACCAGAGATTTACATATATTTTCATAGCTGCTCTCAATGCAAACGTTTATAAGAAAGTAGTTGTAAGTATCTTGCTTGCGTGTCCTTCTAGGCATCCTCTATGTATAGCTAGCTATGCAGGGTGAAAGCTAACCTCACTTTGCAGCAGGGATGGGAAACATGGCCTTCCCAGTGTTGTAGGACTCCCAGCTTCCATAATCCTTGACCATTGGCTATACTGACCAGAGCTGATGGGAGTTGAAAGGACCACAACCGTTGGGGGGCCACAGGTTCCCCATCTCTGTTGTGCAGCTTATTTTCTCAAACCCATCAACTTCATATTATCAGAGAATTACAAACCTAATGGATTCCGTTTGGTTCATCCTTCCCTTTTCATTCTGGAACTCAAGTTCCGGTGACTTTTATATGCTTTTGGCCTGTGGATTCTTTTATTAATTCCCACTAATCACATGTCCACACCCTTCCTCTAGTTTTCCATTTTTCTTTTCCAGCTGACACTTAACATTCCTTGGCTACTGAGCATGCTCAAACCTCATTATGTTGTTTGTTTTTACACTGTGTGTGCATTTAAAAGATTTTCTGTACTTTTGGAAACCTCTGCATTTCCCCCAAGCACGTCAATCAATACCTCCTCATTTGTCAGTGGTCCTGTTTTGGCTGCAGCTCTGTCAGCACTCATCACATGAGTTGGCTGTTAGAGGGAGTGATAAACAAATGGTGAAATAAGTGGTCAATAAATTGCTAGGATTCAAAGAGCTACCTGGTAGGATTTTCAAAGAGCACATGCCCAGTGGGATTTTCAGCTTTCATTGTTTCAACAGTAGCTTCCCATGCCATATTAAATTGCTCTGCAAGGTAAGTTGAAATGCTGTTTGGCCATGCAATATGGGATGACAGGGAGCTGCTTTTCAAGAGAAACCATTCTCACCTGCCCTTGATCTGCTGAAACAGCAGAAATATGTTGCACGGCCAAGTCCTATTGAAAACAATTAATTACAGTTAATGCCACATAGATTTCAATAAGATTAAGTTGTGACTAACATTTGCTGGGTTGTGCCAGGCATTACAATTAAGCTATGTTTTTTCTGTCTTCACGAACTGCATCTTCTGACATCTTTCTTCTTACTTTTCACCAAATAAAAATGTCTAAAGATCCAGTCACTGAGCTGGATCTTGTTAGCTCTGTTTCTTACCAAAGGACTGTTAGCTGATATTCTGGATGTTTTCCTGTTGCTTTTTGGATATTTGTGGGTCTGTTTTGTATCGTGAACAAGAAAATCCCAAGTAGGGGAAGTGAGTAATTGGTTGTACATTTGTTTCTTGTAAGGGAAGTTTGCTGCCAGGGTTATAAATACGTTCCGTGCGACTTCTTAAACTAAGGCAGCAGTCCTGTACCCACTTTCCTCGGAACAAGCCCCAATGGAATTCAATGGAATATACTTATGAATAGACCTGCATGCTGTTAAACGTACACAAGAACAAGAAAGTTTTAGCTCCTGCTGTCTTTTCAAAATATTCCCAGTTTGGGAGCTTCATGGGTGAACTATAGTTTGAGGCTGGGAAATTTAAACTGTCAAATGGGATTCCTTTCAGTCAGTCAAAACTGAGCTCCCCAGAAAGTTCCTTAAAGATAGCGTTAGTATCCATGAATAGAATGGTAAATAGATAGTATCAGTACAAGAAACCCCAAAGGTGGGTACTAAAAATTGTGATTGGATGCCCCGAACCGTCTACTCATTGCTCATCAGCATCCTGTCATTTCACCACTATTTGCTGTGGAGGGTATCTTGCTGGATTCTTAGGTCTATTGTCTTATGGGCTGGTCTTCTAACACCCTCTGTGTTTGCAGCCTAGGTTTTCTTCATTTTCATGGCTTCAGTCCCTTGGCGCTTCCAGAAGGTATGAAGAACCTCTGCCTGAATTTGTGATACTTCATGTCATTCGGAGCTCTACTCTTGGTTCCACACCTGATCCCTGAGCCTGGCCTCCTTCTGCAGGAGGCAATACAGAGTGTATTCAAAGTGTAGGAGTCCTTGAGTCTGTGGCTAATGGGGAGCAAAGTAAACATAGCTGTTTTCCCCACATTGAGCAGCATGGTGGTGGCATGCATGCATTGATAACAGCTGCTGAAAGATCCCTAGAATATACTGTCTTTGCTCTTGACAGTTCCCTGCATGGAGTTCTCATGCCCATTGTTCCCCCAAGATAAGATTCTCAGGAACCTGCCTTACAGTTGTTTGTTTCCAGCCCACCCTTCCTTGGCTGCTAGTGGTGTAGCTTGGTAGCTCATTAGTTGTGGCTCACTGAATGCAGCGTGTTATGGGAATCTTCTCTTTATGTTGCACAAGTCCAAGGCACAGGTCTCCGTGGTTGTTCTAGAATTATTATTATTATTATTATTATTATACTGTCATATACTTGCAGATCTAAGGGTGGTTCACAGAATAAAATCAGAATATAAAACCACAAAATACATAATCAAAATGAAAACAACAACCCAATAACCCGCCCCAACACATTTTAAAAGAGCAAAGGGCTACTAATAGCCCTGTTCCAAGACTTAGGATGGGACACCTCGGGAGTGATAGTGTTATAGGGACAACATGGAAACATTCCAAGCAGTTTCTGGCGCAAGTAATTAAAAAGATAAGTCTGTTAGAGATGGTGTTTTCCTAGCACGTTTGTGGTCTGCAGTAGCTTTCCTCTTTTCTGAGCTCTTCATTTGAGCAGTTTGATACTGGGAATACTGGATTTGGTCCCAAGACTCACAAATGGGAGTTCTGCTCAAGCAGCAGAGCTTCCCAGCTCCATTCTCCACAAATCCTCCTCAAAAATCTGTTCCTGAGTGGTAGAAGGATGGGAGATGGAGAGCATGTGCATGTAACCAGAAAGTGCAAGTCTGAAATACAGGGGAAATGGAAATGCATTTCCATCACACAAGCCTCCTGTGGGACCAACCCAGTTTGGCTCATGGGCAGTGGCTAACACTTTCTCCCATCCATGTTGCCCTTGCCCTGCTTTCTCTGCCGTTAGAAATGATTGGGTGGGGGTGTCTCTATATAACATGCTTGTACTTACCTGTCTTGTGCTAAAGTCTGATCCTTCCCATAGAGATGGGTTAGTGGAAGAGGCCTCTGCTGAGTAAGGAAATGCTGCTGTGCATTTAATGTTAGCTTCTGTCTTTGTCCACCCCACCAGCATTTTGTCCTCTACCCTGCCTGGAGCAATATTCTCCAAAAGCACTGTATTTTCAAGTCATTGATTTGTATCCAGCTAAGGCTATATGCACAGTAGACCCACTGAACTCAATAGACATGAGTCCTATGCAGAGAACACCCACTGAGATGAATGAATGCAACCCTTTGTCTTCCTTTCCCCTACCTCCTGCTTGTGTCATTTGAAGATATTAGCTCTACTCACTACTTGTGGCCTTTAGGTAGAGAGAGTTGGAGTAGGTGGCATTTGGATATACTTTTAAACTGTGGCAGTAATAAACCTGAGAGACATCAGCTGGTGTAGCATACGATTAAGAGACTGTTGTGTATGCATGAGGAAGTCAGGTGTGCCATGAATTCACAAGGTGGTCTTGGATAAGGCAGACCCTAGTATGCATTATGGGGATAATAGTAACCAACATTACAAGGTTCTTGGAAGGATGATGTTGAAAATAATTGATATACTGTTTAGGGCTTGCTGCGTGTTAACCATAACATTTATCTGTATGGGCTTGCTAAGACTTTCTCCTCAACTACTTATTTTCCCCATTAAAGATTATGTCTGATTAAAAAAAAACCCCACATATTAACTGTTCTAAAGTCTTTTAAGGGCAATTATGCATTCACTGCTAACTCAGAATTTTTTCCCTCTCCTTTTCAGCACAGAGACATTAATCGCCTGCTGTATTTATGGAACCTCCCTACACTGCCATGAAGAAGGTCAGCTGGCCAGGCATGATATACAACTGAAATCTAGATTGCAGTGTATACTGGGAGAGAACTTTTTACAAAAACCACCACACCCCTTTTCCAGGGCATCTGTACTTACTGTAAATTTACTTTGGAATTTGAAGTGTTAGAAATATTTTATAAACTTTTTTTGCAATAAATAAGGCATGAGCCAAGGAGCCTGTTCAAGATGAACTTGCAAGGAACCACTTGAATTACTAGTATGAAGAATCACAAAGTGTACTCTTACTCTTCAAATGTGATAGTCTGAATAGGCCCTAGCAGTGGAGTCAAGACCTCTGGAAAGTTGGCTGTAAACTTCTGAACATTTACTTTTGTTCTTACTGTGTGTTATTTCACATCTTAACAAACTTTAGTATTTGGTGCAGGTGTTAGCAGAGCTGTAACCTATTTCTGGAAGCACGTCCACATTCAGCTGTGGTGTTAAGTACTGACAGTCCTGTTTGGAGGCAAAGGTTTCCCCTAGAGATGGTGGTAAGGGCAGCGACAGTGAACTCCATGTAATTCTTGAGTAATTATGGCAAATCTTTGCTGTTGTGGGAAATGTTTCTTTGATGGCCACGAAGATCATTCTGTAAAATGCAGGAATCACTGACAATACACAAATGTCTGTGTGCTTGTGATTCTCTAGCAGTAGTCACCCTAAAGGACAGCTACAGCTAAGATAGGGTAGTAACTGGTATCCAAAGTCATGTTTCCTTTCTAGTGAAGGAACATATTGCACATTAAATTAGTCCTGACTTGGTTGTGACTAACTTATTCATAACAGCCCGCTGTTAGATTGGGGTTTTAGCATTTCTAAAGTTAGTTGGTTTACAAGCCCTCTCCAATATAACAAGTCTTAACTCTTATCTGCAGGACTTGAGTATTTAACTGTCAGATGGTTCCACATTTCAATGGAATTCAACCTAGTTTTCCACAGGATTGCACTCACTATTAAAATCTGCTTTTCATATTACCCAGGTATAAAACCTTAATTTGCATTTAGTTTATTAACAGCAGATCAGGATTCCCAGGAAGCTTGATAAACACAAGTCAAAATGAATGCACAATCTGATGAAGTACATATAAACTATGACAATGCCATCTACACAAGAGTTAAGTCTTGTATGGCATTAAGGTAACCATCTACAGATTAACAAAATATCTCTCTTTTCCAAAGTTACCCATACCAGCAAATACAAGCTGAAGTCTTGGCTTCATAATTTCCATGCATGTTGTAATTATACAAGATTTTTTCCCTTGGCTTTGACAGATTTATATTTTTAAATAGCATTCTAAACATGGGAAAGATGTATGAGTTAGTATATTACAATGCAATTCTATATTAAATATTTACTAAAAATGTCTGTGAAAACATTTAAAATTTTATTTATAAAAACAGTTCATAGCACCTTTTTAAGAGGTTCAACTGTACCAGTTTTCTAAAGAAATTAGAGAGGATGTTTAAAGGACAACAAGCAATTGCTTTGCAGTAGTCTTTCTACAATAGTCAAAGCAAAAGAGAAATAAAGTATACTCTACAATTTTCCAGCAAGATTAGCTTATTTGGGCAAGGTAAAAAGGTACTGCAGCGAGTCAGTGCAGTGTAGTTAAGACAAAAATAAGCATCCTTTTTATTTAAAAGCAGGGTTGGGTGACTTCACTGGAGAAGGTGCACATACCTTAGGAGGTAACCATGGCACAAAATGATAGTTTTGACTCAGGAAAATGGTGTTGGCTGTACAAATAAGGGTACATATCTGGATTGATAATGGGTGGAGCCAGTAGTGCCTGCATAGACATCTTACTTTTAGCCTGTGCTCCTATTCCTTCTCCTTCAAGAGCACAACCGCTGCCCATTTACATCCATGACACTGTACGAAGTGGTAGAACTACAGGTTTATGGGCAAAATAAAGACAGCAAGGTTGGAAAATGGACAAAATGGCTAGTTGGTACTTACTCATGAAGAATTGAGAAACTACAGCCACCTTGTTTTTCACTTTGAAATGATTGTCAGGGAAAAATTGTAGTGGTAGAAGTAATGTATTGCTTTTCACCCTTTTGCTTTAGTTGCTTAATATTTAAGCTTTGCTCCATGTTACCTTTTTTGTCTTGTTTGCTATGTCACTATGCCTCCTTCATTTGGTAGACTTGAATGAGGAAAAATGATTCAACTTTTAAGGGTCACTTGAAATTAATTGTTCAAGAATGTTGTGTACCATCTATTCAATAAAGCCTTGATTTTTTTCCTGCACTTTTAAAAAAGATAAAAAAGCAGTCAGTTTCTGCCTCTTCATCTGGTTGCTTATTTGACAGTAAAAGGCTAATTAATATACTCAAGCTGCAATCCTAGACATACTCACCTGCACATAACTAGGCCTTCTGTGTAATCACACATGGGATTGCAGGTTGATAAACAGCTAACACTGCAATCCTATGTGTGATTACAATGTTTCTGCTGCTAGCACAAAGGATTGGGACTTCATTTTGGTGTCCCCTGCTTCTGGAATGTTCCTCTACAGCCAGCGCTAACTTTTCAGCACTAAATGAAGAATTTATAAGTGTTTTTTAAATTGTCCCCCCCCCTTTTTTTTTTTAGTATCATGGTGTTTATATCTGCTTTATTTCAAATATAGATTTTTAATATGTTTAGTTAACTGCCTTGAAAACTCTTGTGAAAGGTGGGTGGAACATTCTGAAATAAAAACAGAACACACACTTGTGCTGCAGGATATTACCAACCAAACAGGCTACGAGGTTTCTTGCTCCCCCTTGCAGCAGGCTCATGCTGTACCAGGTTTGCAAATCTGCTACTTCATTAGCAGCTGTAATACTGCCAACAGCTGAACTGTTGTTTATGTTATGGAGAATTAAGTATAGAGCTTCTTTGCCTGCCTTAGGAGCTCGGACATGATTATCTCAAAGTGGTGCTGGGATACGAACAAGCTGTAGAAAATGGTATTGCAAGTACAGCAGATGCACAGTCAAGAACTTGTACCAGCTTTTTTTGTATTGATATGCCACAGGTTGTTATAGTTTGCCAACTGCCTCTGTCACTGCCCCCTCAACCCCCCCCAAAAAAAAACAACCCCAAGCACTAAATGGATAGAATTATCAAGTCCTTGATTCATTTACAGAGATAAACACCAACACAATTGCAGCTTTCGATAGCTGCAATTACACCCAGGCTATTTTATACAGTATACTACATTTATAAGAAAAGCATTCATATGTTCCTTTGAATAAGGCGGCAACAAAATGCAGACCACAATACCATCAATGCTTTATTACACTTAGCAAAAGTGTCCTCTCTGAATAGAAAGGGATCAGCCCTCTCATTCACGCACATAGGCTGCAAACTCCATGAACACACAAAATGGTTGTACTTTAGTTACAGGTATGGGAACACTGGATTCTTCTATTTAGCAAAGCCAAACACTCCTCCCCCTTCATCACAAGGGAGGATAAAGAGTGCCCAAATAAAGTGCATCTAAGATGGCAGCGGAAGTCAGACCACTTCACTCTATTCACCCACACCTGTAAAAAGTACCTCATAGAAGAGAAATGCATAAGACTATGTTCAAATCTTCATATTTAGATAAAGATGTTAGGCCTTAAAAGTTTTAATTCACCCTCTTTCTGCATTCACTGAAACGCCACAATTCCAATGCCACACTTTTTACCAGGAGTGGGTTGGGCTTATGTTATCGGTTGTTGTTATTTGGATTTTGAACAAAGTTGATAGAGTACGAGCCAGTTGAGGAATCCTGTTTCACCTGGAAGTTCTCTGTCGATAGGCCAAAAGGGCGCAGAACCAAGTTGCCAAGATCTTTCAGTTTGCCTGCAATACACACACAAAAAGAAATGTACTTCCCAACATGTACAAGAAACTACACAAGGTCCTTGTTGCTTGAACACTGCCCACAAGGAGTTCCAAATGAATTGGCTGCAAGCATTCCATTGTCCAAGAGTGCTAACACAGGAATGATTACGTTCTGTACAGCACCTGCCTCATGACACTTAAGCAACAGTAGATGATTTGGAAAGATGGACTTCACATGCTTGAAACCTTGTTTAGTCCTCTGTCACAAGTTACCTACATTAGTGTTAAGCACTGTGCCTATTCAAAGCTTAGCTAGTTTGCATGTATGATCATTTTGTCTCCAAAAGTAATTAATCTTTGAGAACAGTGTTTTACTTATAGCTAATAAAGTAACTTTCAAACTTACTAAGAAGTTGTAGTAACCCTTAAAAAAGTGCTGAAACCAAATGGTTCTTAGGCAGAAGTTACAGAGCAAGTAAAAAAAAACCAGAACCTAAATAAAGCCTGCCTGAAGACCATGAACTATCAACATGAAACAAAACACATGGGTAAGAGATAAAAAGGCACATAAAAGTTTGTATAAACTGAACACACTGGCCCGGGACCAGAGGCTTAAGAATTGGTTCGAATGAACAGCTCTTGTAGATGCAACTTTTGAAGAAGCAGCACAAAACATTTTCCTTCTGTCATATTCAAATGCCTAAAACTGCTAAAACTGAAAGAGTAGATGTATGGCATTTTGGGGTTCAATATTATGTTCAGAAACTTGCTGCCTTTCAACTGCTGTGCTACAGATAGTGAAGCAAACGTTAGCCTCGGCAGTTGAAATGTAGGACAGACTAATTCATATTTCTGTTTGCTTTGCCTTTCATTCTAATAAGCATTATCATCTACACCCTACTGCCTCTGATCAGAATTTTAGATTATAAATCCACATAATTTCAAACTGAGCATGCAGCATAGTGTGTAAACATTGGTGTTGAGGCACAGCATCTCACTAAAAAGATTGTGACCAGAACCACATGACCAATCAGGTCAGACTCCTGGGGGCAGGTATGCTTCACTGACTGCCCTTTCTTCTCACCAGCACAAGAGGGAGGAGAGATTCTGCACTCAGTATCCTGCTCAGCTACGAGTGTCTGGCAGAAATGAACCTGTCAACTGTTTCTCTGATTCTGGATGGTGGTCACCGTGCAATCCAGAGGGGTACTCTCTAATATGAATCTATTGGGAGTTTGCCTCTCAGAATGTGTCTCCCACACACACCCATTACTCAACCTGCATACCTACTGCGACATTCATGAGCAGCTGCCACTGCTTCCCCTGTTGGGCTCAAGAAGGCCCAGTGCAGACACTCCAAAAATCGGGGGTGGGGTGGTAAAAAGATGATCCACACATACTACAACACCCGTAGTCTAGATCAGAACAAATATATCTGATTGTCCGTTTTCAACAACAGTTTCAAATCAGCAGCTTAAACGTAACATTCAATAAGCTTTGATGTTTGTGGAGTTGGGATGGTCTGAGATGGGGCATCAGTGTTGTGAAAAATGAGGATCTCTGAAACCCAGAGATTTCAGGGGTAAGTCTGTCCTAGAGTAGTAAGAGAAGTCATTAATTTGTCTGCAGAGATGGTTGTGTAAGAAATTCATGTTTTATACCAATGCATGGAAGCTACCACACAAGCAAGGTGGATACCAGTGCCACTTACCCAACATCTCTTCCTTAAGTTTCTCATTGCGTTCTTCTATTTGTCTTGGCAATCGCTAAGAAAAACAAACAAGAGAATCAATTCTTCAAAGTTGGCTTTGACAACCTGTTTATTTACCCATGACACATACTATGCATGGTTTGATGCATGACTTAGCACAAAAAAACACAGGGGCACACTCATGGCCAGAACTCACTGGAGCACTGCAATGCTACTGCAGTACTACTTTATAAGTGCAGAACTACTTTGTAAGTCATTTTATGGTATGGAAGTGTTTGGTTGAGTAAATGCTGCCAAACTGGAAACCATCCAAAATTTATTTTTGAGGTCACTCTTGAACTTCCCACATGGCACTCCCATTGTCATTGTGACATTTGTATACTGGCCACAGTTCACCATGCCTTGCTTCTGTACTGGCTGAAATTACAGCACATGCCAGACAAAAGGTTGCCCCTAAAAACATTGCTTTGGAGCAAATTTCTGATAGATCAACGTTGGGTCAATACATGTGAAACCCTTATTACTGCATGGTCTGATTGTTGATGTCTTCAGGGTTACAAAGTAGTGTACTGAAAGTTGCAAAGTAGTGTACTAAAAATAAAGTCAAAGAGCAGTACCTTCTGTTAGAAGGTGTCACCTCTGAACTAGACAATTTTCATTGTTTTATTACTCCCTGAAATGTTATTATGGTCTTCTAGATTACTCTCCTGAATAATCTGTTGAAGCAATGAGGAAGGGGTTTACAGCTTTGAGATTTTAAACTATGATCAGACTATGGTTCCAACTCAAAAAGCTTACTGTAGGTCAGTTCTTCCTTATTAGAAATTAAGCTTCATTTTGGACTTAAATACGGGAATAAAGTAATCTGATCACACTTTTTCCAAGTTTAAAAGTATGGTAGGCTGTTGTCCTGGTAATGCATGCCTTTACCTTTAAGATTTAATACTTATGTCCAACAGTCACCAGGAGCCATCCACTCCATTACAGTATTTGGGGATGGAAAGAAACTTACCATACAAGCTTCTCTTGCTTGATGGATTGATGGGTCTTTTTCCAACAAGTTTTTGTAGTCTTCTAAAGCTTCATCCAGCTTTTCTGTTTTTTCATACAGTTCTGCTCTCCTGAGCAGTGCCTTGATATAGTTTGGATTTAATTCCAGGGCTATAAAACAGAATTAAATAGCAGAAAAACTGAGGTAGGAAACTTTTTACTTCAAAGCCTAGGGCATCTGCAGCATGTTCTAGATGAGCTAGCCTCAGGCTATAGGATAGTGCTGGCAGTAGAAGCTATGATCTAGTGTGAACCATACGCAAATGGATTAATAATTAGTCATTTTATTGTTTGCTTTAATGTACAGTTATAGCAAATATAAGTGATCAAAACCCTTTGTGGACCATCTTGAACGTGATTTAGTTTCTAAGTGCAAGATCAAGCCATATACACAGCATGATTTCATGCTATACATGCGTGCCTGTGAGGATCTTAAAGGAAAACAAGCAGCCCTGCTCTTGCAGGAGTGAGGCTAGCTGGATGCTCCATCACCCAGGACAAGACCTGATGACCAGCTAATCGTTGGCACTTTGCAGGCTGTGCCTTTGACTGTATGGTCTGATTTCAAACCATGCTGGCAAAAATGGGTCGCCTGCCATCTTATGACACCAGTTAATTAACAGGTGGGCAGCACCCACCTATCTATCAAATTTGGTCTCCAGGGGTCAGCCAAATGCAGCT